ACAAATATATAGATCTTAAAGATGAAATTGACGAGGCAATGAGGAATGCGAGCTTCCAGATCATGTCAGTCACTTTGGACACTTTGTACAACTGGTATGGAAAAATACTGGGCTCTAGCGTTGATTATGCGTCGACGGTGAGATTGTGATTTTACTAAGAGGATTATAATTTTAATAAAGTCTCAATGGTAAAAATTATGTTTGTTAGAACTTTATGAGAAAAATGACTAAGTAGATTTCATTGAAAATTAATAATTTAGTGTAAATGAGCCAAAGTTAAAAACTGTTGAATTTATAAGAATCGGACGAAATCATACAGATACAGCTTCAATACTCTGAAATATACTTAATATCAATCAAAATCATCAAATTTGCAAAAGCATGTTTTACAATAGCTATTTATTTATTTTTTAAAGGAATGGTAACCGATGGTTTTATATATATTGGATATTGATAGCAATGTATTGAAATGAATGATAGTTATTGTTGAATAAAAATATTTACATTTACAGGTGTATGGTATCCCATACGCTATGGAGTTCGTAATGCAGCCATACAATACAGACTTTAAAAACGACATGTCTTCCGCTGCTTTGACAGAAATTTGGAAGCGGTTGATCGACGTTGTTTTCAATAATATATGGAAAAGTATGCATAGCAATGATGTGCGATGATTTATATATAAAAGGTTACGAATACATTTAATTTAGAATTAATTATTCATATGTCATCGAAGAAAAATGCGTTATTTTTATTTATAAATTTTATTTCTTATACACTGTTAGCGCTAGTTCAAGAATCAGAGTTAAAAATATTATAAATATTGTAATTAAAAATATTTTATTACTATTAATTGTTTATTTTGCGGACGGCGAACATATTCGCCCTAAAATTTAGAAATATTAATTTTCTCTATTTGTCCAAGCGACAATTAAACCCGGGACTTCATCTACGCAATAAAGCAACATTTACTATCCTTATGGAGGTTGTCAAACTAGAAAAGTCAGAAACATTTGTCATTGTATTATACAAAGTTACCTACTAGGTAGATACTAGTTTGAAATAATTTGGTTAAAAATACCACTATGCCTGTATTGTATTCTTGTAAAGTTCCAAGGATTTACACTTGTAACATACTTTTTTTTTAATAATCCTATTGTTTTTGCGCTAAAGAATTTGCACAGTCGATAACAAGTATATTTGGCAAATATTACGGTGGCACTTTCCCCGCGTTTATGACATGTGCGTCATCAGTTATTGCCATTGCGCACAATTTTGTATCCCAGATTCATTTATCGCTATATTCGACATGCATTGCTAGTTTATTAATACACGTTCAAATTTCATACCGTAACCAGCTGTCGATGGAACTTAAATTGATAGATTTAATTGTTGTGAACGAGGTACATGCAAGTGTGTCAGCAGCGTTTCGTCCAGAACTGGTTGTGCATACAAAAGGAGTTAGGTATATAAGAAAGAAAGAAAGTGAACGCATCGTTTATGCGGTTTATATTATGTTATTTTAAATTGTCACTTTTATTTCAAGTCATCCTAATTTATTCGTAATTCGAACAAAGCAACAGTTATATGGGCGTGATCACGTTTTCAAATTCAAAGTACAACTTTTAAATATTATAAATAGTGTAGGAACTAAATATTTGAAAGTGTAGTACTATAAACGTGCAATGGATTTTAATGGATAATTTTCACAAGTACTTTTTACTCTGCAAAAATAGTTACTAAATTGTGAACACACACAACGCACACATAGAGAGACACAATACGCGCGTTAGCGCACGCACGTACGCACAATTACGCGCGAGTCAATAAACATTAGGATGTTTCGAATTTTGTAGATGATAATGTTTGATTGATGATGATATTAGCCGTTAATTATCCACTGCTAAACATAGGCCTCCCCCATAAGGGGGGTTTTGTTGCCACACTTGACAAGCGGGTTGTCAACTGCAGTTACTTGGACTTTGGTGATGTTTTAAGAGATGTTACTGCCCATCTCTCGACCATTAAATTTACTTAGTCGCTTCGGTTCGCGAATAAACGACGTGGGTAATCGCGTAACATAACCAAACGAATTGTCAACCAAAAAAGACAGACAAATTGAGGATCTCCTTTTGACAGTCACTTAAAAAAGATGCGCCAATAAACCCATCGTAAATCGCGTAAGCAACAAGTATAAAAAGACTATAATAAAAAAGCTGCGTTTAATCAAATAATCTGAGCGGATAATGGGCTCTTTCCCGCTATAAGCAACATAACAATGGCGTTCCGTTACCGATGCGTAGGTGTCTCCATCAGTGTCGCCTTGGTTCATTAACCGAGCCGCTTTTGATTGTTCAGCTAAGTTCTGGTACCATCGCACCAATGAATCGAGATCGTGTTTGTTGTCCTACATTCAACAACGGTTTTGCACATTGATATAAAATAAACAAAAGAGATACTTGTAGGAAGAGAATGCCATAGAACTGGTATAAGTGGATGCAATAGAATAGCATACAATAGCAATGTAATGTTGTTGTAGTGCAAACGAAAAAATAAAAACGTACTTCCTTATTCGCGTCGAATAATAGTGATATAGCTTAATTTCAATAGATAATGTAATAGCGCGAAGTATAGATAAAAACTTGATGTTTATTAATCTATGATTAAAATTTAAAGGGATATCATGATTGTTTAAATGAAATAACTAATTGTATAATTCTAATATTAAATCTTACGTACTTGTGAAATGTTAGGTTTCCTTATAGATAATTTCATTTGCGATAAATGTAGTTTATTTTTAGTATATATTATAACTGTTAAAAAAATCACTACATTTTCAGTACTATTCAAATATAGCGAATATAGTGAACGATATTCACTTTTGATGGCCATTTAATTAACCCTTTATTTGGCAAAAAAAAAAAAAACATTTTGAATTGAAACAAATACTGAAATAGGAATATGTAGAGTCTAAATATGCCAGTGTTGCTAATACTCAAAAACATTTTGTTTCATAAAGTGTGACTAGTAATTGAGAATAAATATTAATAATTGTATTGAAATCATAATATTTCTTTAACACTTTATGTTTTTAAAAAGTTTATATGGCACAGCCTACAATACCAAATTAAGGGTTAAAGCAAAATAAAAGAATATTTTAATTATTACTGTCATTGCTTGAATTTTGTTTTTTAATTTTGTCTATGGCCTGTCAGTAGAATATGTATGATGCTCATACATATTGTCATAAGTGATCTTGGTCAATTCTGAATCCATTTTGATAATAGGTATGGTACTCTCATGTTGGTCCCACATCTAATTTTGTTACGTTTAAAGTAATTTAAAAAAATATTTGCACATAAAGTAGAAATGAGCTAAACACAAAAAGAAGAAGAAAGTATATTTTTAAAATATTTTAAAATTAACATTTCAAAATACCCTCGTTATGTATGGCAGTGTAAATCTTGGATTTTTTGCATATCGATGATTTCGCGCTTTAGATTCAATCTTTTAAGTGACTAATTGATAGCATTTCGAAGGATTACGGTATAAATCTGTCCATGACTAAAAATATCAACAGGCTATGCCTTATTTGAGTAAGTTTGCAAGACATGATTAATTAAGTCGGAAGGAAGTCATTAGAACTTTGTAAGAAAACAATGCAATCCAATCAAATTCGGGCTCGTTTGATTTGTTGATGGTTGACTGTCAGAAATTGATTAGGGTCTTATGGAGGGCGAACGTCATGACAATATTGGTATAAAAAAAGTATATAAAAATGTATTTTATATATAATTATCGCAATTGATCCAATTAATTTGAAAGTCTGAGTCATAACTTTTATGTACCGTTAATTTCATTATGCTTATTTTAGGACGCGAGATATAAATAGCATCGACACAAATTCTTTATTCATTTTCACCTTTCATTAATTATACACATATATTTATAAATACGAACTTGAGTATGCTACATAAACATGTATTTTGTATTATTTTTAATGTGAAAAATACAGTACAAGTGGATAAAAGAAGTGATTATACCAACTTCACTTCTTTTATCCACTTGTACTGTATTTTTTCTTCCATTCACTTAAAATATGCGAAAGAAAGAAAGAGTCATAGGTATGTATGTATATTTTATCTAGGATTGTTATTTTCCACCAAATGTATATATAATCATCAGAATTAAACACTAAATTAAATTCATTACTCATTTAATACGAATTTTCAATACATGTACCAAATTTTTCAATAGAATAATATTTTATTTATGAAAATTTCATTAAGATGCAATAATTAATGCAAAATGTCTAAATGGACCCCATAGCTTAGTGTTTGAATTATATCCCCAGATATTAAATATAAATGGAGTTCCTAGAACTCCAGAATTGGCAATTTTGAGGAATGTTGTTCAGATTTAGTTTTTTTTTATGGGTGAAAATGGCATAGTAGCCTGCGTTATCGATATACACTGGCGGGGCACCAGTGAGAGTTGATAGGTGAGGATGGAAGCAAGTCATTTAGCCTATTGTGATAAATTCAGCAAGACTTAAACACAACGGTTTCCGGGGGGAACCACATGGAGGTCGACTTGATAGGTGTACCCTATCAAGTAGTTGCTAGCAATAGGGCCACTACACCTCATTACTAACAATCCCTTTCCCCCCATCATATTTCGGTTTAGTACGCCTATTATGACTAACCCTGTATTTGTACCAATAAATAATTATGAGACTAAACACCAGATCTAAATGTATAAAGACATCTAAATGTATAGTTAAATATCTTTTTGTTTTGCTCTGCTTAGAAAACGATCTACATACCTAAAATACATCTAAGATTTATATATTCAGAGTACGTAGTACATTTATGTTAAATTTTTTGAGAAAGCAACCGTAAAAGTTTGAATCTCGTTTTGTGGCTTCGGTCGTCCTTGTACACGTAATTAGGGTGGATGTGTACCGTTATGGTACGAGATTCCCCGGTGGCCTGGATGCGCAGGCGCAGCTCACAGTGCGCAGTGAACGTTGTAGATACGCGCACCGCCCGCGCGATTCCACTCTCGCGCACGTTGCACGCACGGAAAACTTTTATACAAGTTTATTGATTATTTTAAATGAAATATTGATATCCAGTTAAGATTGAATTGTGAAGTATGGCGCAATTGTTAGTGTTAGTGTTCGGTGAGAGTTAATTTTTATTATTTACAGATATATTTTTGTTGGTGTTGTGTATTTAAAAGTGGTTATCAATGAAAAAATTGATTTCATTGTGCTGAGTTAAGTATGAATATTGTCTTGTCGCCGTCGCTCGGCATAAAATGGGCCACCCCTTTCTTTTCTGTGGGTATCGTAAGGCGACTAAGGGAACTTATGGTCGAGGGATGAGCAGCAGCGTCCCTCTTAAAACATCACCAAAAGCCTAACTATGGTTGCCAATCCTGTCTGCCAAGCAAGGCAACTGCTGGCAAAATTTTCCAACTATGGGGGAGGCCTATGTCCAGCAGAGGACGGATAATGACTGAGATAATAAACATAATTATAAAATGTCTTTAAAAAGTACCTTTCAAAGTTCACAGTATAAAGGCAAACACATGAAAATTAAAAAGACGAGAAATTAACTGCCGTGGTAATTGTCTTAGATTTTGTTTTTTATAATTTTATGAGTATAAATAAAAGTTTTAAATTATTTATATTGAAATGAATTTTTACACAAGTTTTTTTGGACATCTCCAATTAGAATAAAATAAAAGAAATACATTAACTAATAAATATGTGTATATAATTAATATTATGATATTTTTTAAATAGATTAATGTATTAGTTTATAACATACTTTGGTGTAAATCATGTTTAATAACATTCAAAAAGATTAAATTTGCTTCTCTACATATGCTCGAGGGTAACATATTATGTTAATGAAATATTTTAATAAGAATTTGGGTATATAAAATTATAATAAAAAAAAAAACTTGTATCATGATATTTATTTAATAAAATATAATTTTATATTTATTTGAATAATACTTAAAATTCTTCCGAGAAAATAATATGTCAGTCGGTTCATTTTTACGCAAAGAAATAACTTAAGTATAACCTACCTATTTTACGCATTTTCCAGCACCGTAATAAAAACAATTTCTGGACATATTTTATTCACAGATATTTATTTTAAAATTAAATACCAAGATAAAAGGAAATATAAAAAAAAAATTAAAAATGTATGGCTTCCAGCATGTCAGTAACAGTTTTAATTACTAATTTTAATTGATTTTCAAAAGGAAGAGTTTCTTAATTCGTCTATAAAAGCCATGTCTTCGCCAATTCTAAATTGAGTTTGATGATTCATTTGTATAATCGATAAGATGCAGGTATTATCGTATTAATACTATATTTTTTTTATGATAAAAGTGGTTGCTTCTATTGCTATATAGCCATGTTCTAAATACAAATATGTGTTTTGAATTTAATATAAAAAGGTTGATAGTCATCTGTGTGTTTCTGATTTTAAAATAGGAACAGTGAAATTACTAATCAATATTCATTTTAATTAAAGATATCGACTTTTTTATTAGTTAGATAAACATGTCTTTTTCTTCCTTTCATTCTTATTTCTTATGTACATGATAGTAACTTTTGATTTTCCCTTTAGAAATATATATTAACATTTTAGCCTTTGTCCTTTATTGACTAGTATAAAATCATTAGTACTAGTAAGTTGCTTTACAAATTATTACCATTATTACACGCACTTTTAATGACAATTAGGCAAATATATGAACGCACTTTACTCTAAATTGTACGCCAACTTTCTATTTGCACATATTTTACGTCACAATATCCGTTAACACTGTGTGAAATAATTGGATGAAAATTCTGTGAAAGCATATTTTATTCATATAGGTAATAAACGACATTGCTAAAATAACGACAATGTATGATGCTTATTACATATTCATGAATCGAAAGGGATAAATATTTTTAATATAATATCGTTAATTATATTATTATTACCCGATTATTGGAGAAGAGAGGATAACGTTTTTCTGGGCCTTTATAAATTATGTCTATTCCATGGGTGCAACATCCTATATGAATTGGTACACTTTAATAATAATCATTAGGTGTTTTGAAAATCTGTAAAACTATATTTACCTAAGTTATTCAAACTACATGCATACATATCTGTTAGTTACTCATTATTATTAAAACTAATATTATGAAAATGTATTTGAATGTCTATAAAAATATTCAAATGTACTTATGTAATTCAATCACGTATTTGAACAAATATTTGGTTTGATTACTAACATATAGAATTATAAGAGTATTCATATATTAACATGTAGTTTTTATTGTCTGAGTAGACAAGTTAGCAAAAAAAAAAATCAAAGGTACAACTATAATATATACAGAATAACAATACAACGTAATTCTTGTTAATATAATAAAGTACATAAAGATCTACTACAAATTCTTGCCACAGTTGTGAGAAATTAAATTTTTCTCCAACACTATAAGAATCATAAAGTGAAGCTGCACAAATGATATCCGATCAAAGAGCTTTTAATATTGAATATTGCTAATTTGCAGCAAAAATATTCCGATTTTAATAAATTAAAATTATCGGGGATTCAGCTGGCGATCAAAGGGAGTCCCTAATAACATCAATTGGTTTGAAATTGGTCCACTGAAGCCCGATCGGTACGTTGTAAAGAGAGCTCAATTACTTGAAGCCAAACACGAATGTCGCCACAAATTAAAGAAACGTACCAAGCAAATGATATTATATTATCGGAGAGTTGATGGGGATGAGTGAAATAGAAAGCAATAGAGTAGACAGTAGCTAATATGTATTTTTGAATTATGTTCCTGAAGGTCAAACAAATAAACCCAATTCCGCAATTTTAATATACATAAGTATTTATAAGGTACTGTTTATGTTTATAAGCGACGGTGATCACTTTCCATCAAGTGCGCTGTTAAGTGTACATAACAAAGTCTCAAAAAAATGTTCGTTCTCTTCTAAAATGTCTACTAATTTAATTTAAAAATTTAGAATTTGATATATATTTTATATTGATATTTTATTTAGCATTTCATTGGTTTTTCTACCATTGAATTTATACCTTAGTTCCGGCATCATGTAAAAACTTCTGCACTAAATTAGATGCGATTTTCAGTCTTATTCCTGAAGGTTTAATTTAACATCTGGATTATGTTTTATATCGATACCTCAAATATAGAGTTTGGAAATTGTTACCTGTATTTAAAATCCACGCGTAAGAAGTTGCGGGCAAAAGCTAGTCTAAATTATAAACCTAAATATTTGATAATAGATAAATTCTTTTGCAGGTATAGTCGGATTATGGACTCAAGTTGATTGCCTGGCAAACAATAAGTATGATGAGTATGTAATAATATAATTATTTAATATGAATTTTCTTAAAATTTAAATAATAATCATCATTTAAGATCAAGCGATCCACATTTGTGATATAAAATTTTCAGCTATTCGCTCGTACGTATATATCCAGCAAATGAAACGCAAGTGGAGGCCGTCAATCGCTTTCAAGACCATGAGGACACTATCGAAGTTTTGAAAGGGAGTAGAGGAATAAATGATAGTTTAGATTTGCTGGTGGCACCTAACCGCATTAACTACGCACGCCAGTTTGCTGATGAAAACAATTTAGGATTTGAAGTGAAACAACAGGAATATGGCAGGTCGGTAAATAAAATATAGATTTTAATAAAATAAAATAACAAATTGAGGAAATTAATGATTAAAATTACTAAATTCACTATTTTTATTTTAAAACAAATAAAACACGAAAATGTAAGATAAGATATTTTATTACATATTATATTTAGTGTATTTGAAATCAGTAAGCATAGTCTTATAGAATTACTTAGAAGCAAATTTTGTTTCGCAACTTTAAATTGTTTTTTCTGTATGTTTATAAACTTTATTTGTACACACCTAACGTGTGAAACGTTAGGTGTGTACAAATAAATTGACATTAACATTGATTAGTAAGTATATTACTGAATAGGATGGTAAACTCTGAACTGATTTTGATAATATTATTTTAATTATTATACATGTACTTAGTAGTTACCAAATTATTTTTATTTTATACCAAATCAGGACATTCAAGTCAGTAGAACGCGTCCCCCGGAGGCGAGTGCTACGAAGTTTCAGTATCTACGACTACAATTCCTTTTCGGCTGTTAGTATCTACTTTCTATAAAGTTTTCAACTATATACAGTAAGACAATTAGCTTTCATTCTCTTAAATTATATAATGGATTAGATGTACTCTGTCGCTTCGCCCGTGGTCATATCTTACTTTTAAATAGACTATAAGCGTCTAAAAGAAATAAGCTATCTCCTTCATTTTCAAATTCAACTGGTACATCCAGAAATAATCGCACGTTCAAACAAATTATTATATTAGTATAATACACCCCTTCCTTTCTCGTGGGTTAAGACACACACGGGACTAGACTAAGAAAGGGCGAGGGATAGGCAGCAGCGTCCCTCTTAAACATCTCTAAAACCTCTCTCAAAACCGCAATCAGGGCTGCGGTTGCTAATCCATTTGCCAAGCATGGCAACTACTGGCAACACCCCGCAAGGGGGAGGCTTATGTTCAGCAGTGGACAGTTAAAGGCTGATATTATGATGATTATAGAATAATTATTCAGCACAATTTGGCTTCAGAATTCTGGGAATTCCTCAATAGAGGTCTGTTACTACATCAGTAATCAGTAAATAATGAAGCCCATCAAGTTTTATATATATACATATATATATAAACATATAGATAGATTTTTCCGCTGCCATATCATTTATCTTAAGGACCTTTTCCGCTAAATATAAAATTTCTCGTTATAGCAACGAAGGCCTTTATAAAACAAACTTTCAAGTTTAATAAATAAATGTAAGTTGTATATTTGTATAACTTACTTTTATTAATTTTGTATCCCAGATCCAAGAGTACTTAGAAACCGTCGCAAGGAGACGTCCTGAACTGGTTACTCTTCAGATACTAGGCAACAGTTATCAAGGTCGGCGGGTGAAGCTCGCGAAAATATCAACAAACCCTAATGCTGGGAATCCCATAATATTTATCGATGCTGGTAGGTAGAGATTTTTTATAGTATGCTAACAAAAGAATAAATGACCAGGTTTCTTTATTATTATTTATTTATTTTTATTTATTTATTCATTAGTACAAATATGTGTACATGGCGTACTTAATGTTAAAAGCATTCTCTCCCAGTTAACCATAGGGAAGTGTCAGAATACTCGAATGCGGTACTACTAATTATTGATAAACATACATACTAAAATTACATATATAAACGAATAAATATATATGAATAACAAATGTACTTACACATATTTGATATATATACGATATACTATATTATACACGAATTTGGAAATAATATAAAGTACTTATTATGGTACTAGGTTATAACTTAATTGTATGCTATTTAAAAAGACAAACTAGTTGTCCAACCATGTAATGATAAGGGGAAACTATGTTTTATATGAGACGAATAAGACTGAAATAATGTGCAAATTATAATTTTTCTTATACATTACCAACTCCAAGGACAAAATAAGAAGTTGATACTACTGCATAAATATTTTGTTTATATTATTTCTATTATTATTACTATTATGTTATTCCATACAATAAATCACTTTATGCTCCTATTTCGAGCTGATATCAATGTGACTGAGACATGTCTGAAAAACTCATAGTAGCTTTTTAGATATATTATGCTTATGTATATATCATACATACTCATTTAAGTATGTAAAAACATCCCCTGTTTACATAAACATCACTACATAATGCCATAGTAAATAATAATAGCCAAGATAAACGCCTTTTTATATAAACCGTTTGAGATATTACCAATATGTACTTTATTTAACGAGGCAAATACTAAGCTCTATCTTACTCATATAATGAAATTGTAACTGGACAATGTCTGTACATGTAAGAGGTATTAATAGGGGCAATAGAGGCCAAAATAACATGCTTGTCTGCCACCGCAGTGTTATAAAAAAAAAATTTTTAGAAATATGTCTGTTTGTCTTCACCTATGTGTTAAAACAGGTATACATGCACGAGAATGGGTAGCTCCAGCGATGGCCTTGTACTTGATACACAGACTGACCAACGATCCCGACGCAAGACAAAATGAGTTGAACGGCGTCGACTGGTACATTCTCCCGGTGGTCAACCCTGATGGATATGAATTCACTAGATCCAGCAAAGCTGTAAGTCAAGTATAAAAATTACTAGCTTTTTCCTGCGACTTCATTCGCATTACCGGGATATGTTAACTGACCGAAGTAAAAAATGTATATCAAATTTCATAGTAATTGGCTTAGCTGTTAAGGTGTTAGAAGGTAACAAATAAACTTATTTTCACATTTATAAAATTAGTAAGGATTATAATTATAAACTAAAAAGGATCTCTCGTTAGTCAAAAATATGTATTAATGTATACATATTTTTGCCTTTATACGATACATTAATTATAAAAGTATAATGTAAATTGATTTTGCGTTTTTCACAGACGGTTACGGTTTATCTTGCGATAATCACTTTTTACAGTATGAGTGTATAAGTAAATGGGTGATAATAAGTCACTAATTAGGGAGGTAGTTACATATTACTCACGTTATTGCGTAACTACCGTTTTATTTTATATTTTATTTTAATATTACGACAGAATAATGTTTAGAATGAAAACCCAGAAAATAGTCACTCGAATGCTGTCATTTCTATAGAAATAAAAATAAATAATGCGCAAATTTAATTTTCAATAAACAGATTTTGCAAGTATTTATTAATTAAAATTTAAGTTAATTTGATTGAACAAAAAATCATTTATCAAATATTTCATAAGAAAATTACCTGTCTTAAGTACAAACTATATTACTGTTTATAAATATATTTACGAATAAACAATTAGAAACTATACTAAAGTTTTAGGCTAAGTTAAAGGCTTTAGTTTCAAATCAAATAATTTTACCTTTAATGTTAAATACGAACTTCACATTTCACAGAATCGCTTATGGAGAAAGACGAGATCAAAGAGTAACGGTAACTGTTATGGCGTTGATGGCAACAGAAACTATGGCTTCAAATGGGCCGTCAGTGGGGTGTCAAACAACCCTTGCGACCGAGAAACATACGCCGGCCCTCAGCCCTTTTCCGAACCCGAAACACAAATGGTCAGGAATGTCATGTTGGAAAACGCTAAGAGATTGAAGCTCTACGTCTCTGTGCATTCGTATGGACAGTACTTAGTTTACCCCTGGGGCTATACAGGAGATTATATCCCTAAAGAGTGGAAAAAACTAGATTCCTTGGCAAGAAGTGTCTCTGACGCCGTACAAAGGGCAGGAGGAAAGCCTTTTAGAGTAATGAGTGCAGGAAAATGGTATCCGGCGGCGGGTGGCAGTGATGACTATGCTTTCGGTGCTGTAGGTGTTCCTTACTCTTATACTATGGAACTAACAGACGGATACGAGTTCGTATTCCCTGAAAGATTATTAAAAGTAGTTCTGCCGCAATTTTATGAAGGTTTTCGAGTGTTCGGCGCACAGATTAAAAAGGAGTTCAAAAATTCAAGGGTACCAAGAGATTCGGATACAAACGACAATGAAGACTGATACCAAATCATAAAGAGGCTAAATTTGAAATATATTTAAATAAAGAAATACATATAGGATAAAATTTTATAGTTTCATTTACCTAAAACGAATTTTATTGCTTATTTTCTACGACGATAAGAAATTACAATCATAAAACAATGCGAGTATGTGATATAAGATCTTGTTCAACTTGAGCAAATTTAGCAAACAATGAAATTTTATTTCTTATTTATGAACATATTATGTATAGGTATGGTTTGTATTTTTTTATTCAATTGTATTTCGAATATTATGTATAATAGTAAATTATGTTTGAACTGTTTCAGCAAATTTTAAGTGTAACAATGCTCAAATTTGTGGGTTTGTATTAAATTATAACATATTTAATTATATTTTTTTAGATCTTGTAAATTATAGCTTTGAAAAAGGGGTTGGTAATATCAGCATTGAAAAGAAATACACATCTTAGTATAGTTTGTCTTTTCATCCTCAGGATATCGTACCTAAGAGGAAACTAGGGGTATAATGCTCTATAGACTAATTCAAGAGAAGGAAAACTCAAATTAAAAGTTTTATACAAACTGCATAACAAGCGTGGTTAAATTAGTACAATTTTATCTAATCTTAGTTATAGTACAATATGAGGGATTTTAATAAGAGTAATAAAAGGCAAAACTGTAGTCTGTATATTTGTTTCGGCATAACGTAAACGTTACTGCACCAAATTGAATGCAGTTTTTATAGTTATGATCTTGAAAATGTAACTTAAAATCTATATATCAATTACAACTACTTACTACAAATAAATTTCTATATATATATAGATTTTAAGATTGGTATCTCTCGGTTGGGCGATATCTTGATATAATAATCCATATGTTACGGTGATAGTTCTATATCCAGTAATGGGATGATAATGGTTATGATGATGACGCATTTGTTAGTTTTGAGAAGTCCCAATGATCATGTGGGCACTTTATACCTCGTCAAGTGCTCATGGTTAAGTGATGGTTCCTCATAACGCACTGATAGTATGTAGCATTATTATTTTAAAAAAAATTGTTATTGAAATTTAAGTAATTATCTATTAAAAGTTTAATAACTATGTTGACTTCTAAACACCTTAATCATAAACAAATCCAGTTAAATATGTATACTTCCCTTACCTAACAGATTCAGATATTGGGGGGAAAGGGATTGTTAGTAATGGAGACTGAGAATCCCATTGCTAGCAATATACCCAACCAGGTCGACCTCCTCGCGGTTCCCCCTGGAAACTATCATGGTTAATTCCTGATGAATTCATCATGATGGGCTAACTGGCCTGTTTTCATTCTCATCTATCACCCTTCGCTGGTGCTCCGCCAGCGTATCCCGTTAGCGCAGGCGGGGTTACCATACCATTTTCATCCATCAAAAAAATAGATTCAGATAATGCTAATTGCCTAAATTTCAGATACTAGTTATTAGACACAAGTGAAAATCGATTTACCTAAATCTTATCTTTAACTAAATCTGATTATCTAAATCTTTTTTCAGCGTATGCTTTAATAATATTACTTTTTTGGTTTCTAGATGCAAAGTAGTAAGACACTGTTATACAAAAATGTTAGATGATTTAAAACATCACGAGGAACAGAATTGTATTAAGGACGTTGCTATTGGCGCCAGTACGGTAAATTTTTAATATAAATATTAATTAAAATTTAAATAAAATATTTATCTTTAATACAAGACATACCAGAGGGAGACTTTGTACAAAAGTCGATTGCTTGGGTACCTTTGTCCCATTCGTGTTTCTACCGTGAAACAGTTGTGTTTGCATGCCTATGTTTCGGTTTGAAGGGTGAGATATGAATTTACAGGGTATAGAGGAATAACACTTGAGTCCTCAGGAATGGCAACGCATGGGGGGTATCATGTATGAAACAGCATACTCTGTTATGTCAATGGTACTGCTCATGTCTATAGGCGACGGTTACTATTTTCCATGAGGTGGGCCGTCAGCTTGTTTGCTATTCTAAGTTGTATAAAAAAAAAAGAAAGAAAGAAAGAAATTAAGTGAAATTACTAACAAATCGAATTTATTTCTCTAAAGAAATCTAAAGAAATTTTATCAATTATTCTATTTTTTATGTGTACTACTATTAATCATCAGTAGACTGTTTAAAGTCGGGTAAATTATTCGTGTATTTATATTTTCATTACGCTCTATTGAATCGAACTATATAATATTATTCATCTGAAAGCAAGTTTGTTTAATAATGACGCCTTGATACATAGATCAACAGTTTTAAAATATAATATAGAGAACTATATAGGTTATTTTGCTAGGTAGGTAGACAAATAACTAGGTAAAATTGTTTTTATCAAACAAACATATATTATAAACGCTACATATATTAAACCGTTTTTTAAGCAGTTTAAAATGTTAAATGTGTTGACGGTCTATTTAATAGAGAGTGGCGACCGTCGTTTAAGCTCGACTATATTATTCATGGGCTATACAGAATATACTGTGACAGCCATAATACCCTTCATGTGTGTTTATAATTTTAATTAATAAACCAAATAATTAAAGCGCCTACATATTTTTTATCATCGAAATCAAAGATCTAGTTAAGATAGAATTCAGGTTAATCTAGTACTAAAAACATTTAATCAAAGGACCGATAAAAAATTCAAAAAGAAGGTAATAGTTATATTATGTTCACCACAACAACAAGAATAGTCAAATACCTCTAACTGCCCCAATAGTAATTATAATCGTGAACATATTTTTACAGGTAGCAATATTTCTAACAGCTTTGACGCAGTATTGTGGGGACATAATAAAATACAATATCAACGAACAAACAGCGTACACGTTCGAAGGACGATATCTTTATGAGGTAAATAATTTGATAAATTTACATTTCTAAATGTATTTAATTATCAAATGGCCTGATCAAATTAAAAATTTTTAGTTTTCCATATATATTTTTTAACAGATTTTTAAAATAGAAGGTTCCTATTAGTTATGGTTCTTTACATGGACGATATTTCATGTCTCCATCAGTGAATACGATATCAAGGTTGTAGAACTTATGTCAGTAGATGCCTAATTGAATTAATGAATTTTATAATTAAATCAAAGTAGGTCCGATGGTGAGAATATATCAAAATAATCCAAATCAATATTATTTCTGAGTTTACAAAAAAAAACTTATATCTATTTGAAATATGTAAATATACTCACTTATAGATATTATAGATAGAAAAATACTTATATATATTTGAGAACAATTTTCTCTATAATGTTAATAGTAAAACTTTTATTTAATTTAAAATTTTAATGTTTTCAGGTGGTTATAAATGGCACACACGAAGAAACCACAATTGATTCAAGGCCAATAATAATGATAGACGCTGGCCGACAAGGTGGAACTGAACCAGTGACCCTAGCGCTATTCCTTATTGAACAGCTTGTAGCATGTGAGGAAAATGACGAGATGATAGAGAAAGTTCAATGGATCATTTTACCTAGCGCGAATCCTGATGGCCAGGAGTTTAATAGAGTTGTAAGTACTGATAATATTTTTATGGGATGAAAATGAAATGGCAATCCCCGTCTGGGCTAGTGATAGGTGATAATGAAGTTTGATTAGTAGCCTAGAGATAATTACGATAGCTTTCAGTGGTATAATCTGAAAATATAAGAAAGGCAAAAGCTGTAAAATGCTATTCTGAAGTGTTTTTAATGCTTTTAAATTTTTTTTGCGTGTATATTACACAATACATCTCTCAATTCAAAATCAGTTTTGATAAATCTTTGCGTATGGTTAATGATAAGGTTTTTTTATTTATTAGTTCGTAAATTAAATATTTATAACGACTATAATATTTGTAGATTTTTTTTGGTAGGGCAAAATATTAAATTATATTTACAAACAATATAATTTTTACAGGACACATGGAGAAAAAATCGTAGAGTATCAGATAATGTGCTCGGTATTGGCGTAGATATATCAAGAAACTTCGAAAGCCAGTGGGGATCATGCCCTAAAATAGAAAGTGGATTTTCACCCATCTACCCAGGTGTTGGACCAGTGTCAGAAAATGAAACACTATTCATTAAAAATCTCCTCCTAAAATACAAGAAAGATATAAAAGTCTATCTATCGATCAGACGCGACGGTCATGCAATCTTGTATCCATATGGCTACACAAAAAATCACCCTGCAAATAGCGATAGATTAATAAAAGTAGCCGCAAACGTTGCCGCAAAAGTGAATCAGAGAGCGGGCGGTCTTAGTTTGTTTCTCAATCATAGTATCTATGAGTCTGAAGAAAAGGAACGTTGCGGACATAGTGTTGACTATGCTTATGATCTCGGCATTCCTTTGGCTTATGAAATGCGTGTGTTTCTTGGATCCAATAATCTTATAATGTCCAAGTTCCACACATTGCCGCGGGGCTACGAGGCCTCACTCCGAAACGGGTACTACAGTGGTATAAGGGAACTTTACAACATTATTATAAAAGAGAAGCAATATGGCAGAGTGTACTAGTAAATTTAACTTTACACAATATTACACGTATCATTTACGATTTAGGTATACCAAAAGTAAATAGGTAGAAGAGGCACGAGATCACGATCCAGGAAACACTATTCAGAGTTGGATTATATGATTTTGATCGAGCATAAAAATCTTCAACTGGGTCAAAATTATGTACCGAGGCCGGCGGCATCTATTACGATACAATATTTATTTAGTACATAATGGTATATCTACGTTGGAGGAGTCACTTTTCCACTTTTCGGTAGGATGTCGGTCATGCGCGGTGGTAGTGGTAGAGCGCGCTTGCGCTAGGGGTGGGGCCCGTGGCCGTTCAGCCCGCTGCCACTCTGTAGTCGGCCGCAGCGGCGGCGCCGCGCCTGGCTTCTGCTGCTCCTTGCCTCTGTACTCCTAGTAGCACTCTCGATAACTCAGCCGCCGCTCGCGCTATTAAATTCGAAACATTTTTATTCCTTCGTTTCTTCTTTTCAATTACGCTTTTGATTTCTAGTTGACGATTTATTTGTAGAGTGAGTTTATATTTTTGAGTTGTTTTTGATAAATAACATCGATGAAGAGAAACTGCAAATAAAAATTTCGTTTGATTTTCATAATTAATTTTGTGTATTTAAAAAAAATAACGCCGACGCTGTCGCAGCCGAAGTTCGGGGTTGGAGAACGAGGTGAGTATTGGTAATAGAATTATTTGCAGAGATTATGGAGTCACTGAAGCAGGAAGCGGAATACTTGGTCGCCGGAAAATAGCTGTGTCGATGGGCGGAAGGCGTTCCGTCGGCAACAGGTTGCCGCCGAGCGACGGGCGTTGGCAACTGTACGGAAGACAGCTCTCCCGCCCGCTGACTTTCTCAATTCTATTAACTGCTAATAAACACCCCAGATAGAACCTTTTGCGCTAATTACCAGTCGGGGACTTATAATATTAAATTCTTGCCTCGCTCAGCGGAAATTCTGCTGAAATATTGCTTTTTATACGAAACGAGGGTAAAATAAATTGCATGGATTAAGTTCTTTGGCGTAAAATTAATCTTGTATCATGTTTTTGGTAATTAGAATGGGTGAAAAGTATTTAAACAGACTCGTGCAGTGAATTTAGTAGTAAATTCAGATGGACCTTAAATATATATTTGTTTATTGAACTATAAATTAATTATCTAGATATTTAGAAAATATATGATACACATGTAGGTAATTTTCAAACTTATAAACCTCGTACAGTGTTTCGCGTTAGTATAGTACGACACATTATTATTTTAAATAATTTCAATAATTGATTTTGTTAGATATAATAATTTAGTTGGAGGATGTAATAGGAAAATGTATGTTAAGGAAAATATTAGGAATAGAAAGAGAATATATAACTATTAAAGAAACAAAAAGAAAATCTTGTAGGTATATTTAAATAATCATAAAATCTACTACAATGATATTTATATACATGTAAAAAATATAGATATTACATACATAATGAAACTATTTTAATTATTGACTCTGCTACAGTCGCTTTATTTATAATTTTTGGTAGAATCCCAAAAGCAGAAAATTCTTAATTCGTCAATATTTCTCGTGGATTTATTATGCGGCTACATAGCCAATTCTGAACAGATTTTTGCAATTGATAGGTTATATTTTTATGTAGGTTTCATTTTCATTTTGTATTAATTGAAGTCGCCGTTTTTTCGCAGGCAAAAAACTGCTTATTGCGAAACAAAAATTACATGAAGATACACGATTCCGATCATAAATTAAAACATTTTAAATTTAATATATCTAAGAAATATCTCGTCAGGCATCTGCATGTTTTGTCATGATTGAAGATTCTATTTTTTGCGGAGGAAAATATGTTTATTGTTTTATAAAATACAAATACATTAAAGAAAATCCTATATATAATATCCAAAAACTATTGACCGACTGGTTAAATGTATAATTAACATTGATTCACCATTAATTATTTAGTAGGGCGTTTCGAAGATTTATTAGATTATATTTTAAATTAACAAATATTCCAAGAATAATTTGAGTTGATAAATAATCTAATTTAATAATTATTTGCTAATAGGGTGACTTACGATTAAATATTTCATACTGATATTATAATATTTACAATTAAAAATCTGTACCACGGATAATTTAAGATTTTGTGCTATAAAAAAATATTTCGGATATACAGGAGTAAACTTTATTCGCTAGAAAATAAATTGTATAACATATACACAAAAAAATTAGATGAGAAATAGATAAATTGCGGACTGTCTCAGTTTTTTAATTAAAAATGCATAAAATAATTAGTAAGTAATTTGCGAGTTTAGGACGTAATAACATTTTACAAGACGGTACGAGCATTTCTAAATAATATATTTATTTTTTATACAAATTTTATTAGGACTACTTTGAAATCTATAATAGTATAATACTATACAATTTATAAGAATAGATATTTATGCATTCGATTCTCTTTGCTTATCGCGTAAACAATAAGAAAATAAAATAATTGAAAAATAAATGTTCCTTAAAAAGTAAGCATATAATTTAAATACTGTCATTGTCCTTTGTACGACAATGAAATTCCAAAATATTTCAGCTAATGCTTCGAATTATCTTCGCTCTTTATTGGATTTAAAGATCTCGTAAATGGCCTAAGCAGTATCCAAAAGATAAATATAACATGATCAAAACGTCATGGTAATTTTAGTTAAATCATTATTTTTGTTCGGATGATCGTTTCTACGCCGCTAGATTTCAGTTCGAAACGGTTATAAAATTAAAATGTATGGAAGCATAACTTGAATAACTTAATCATCAGAAAGAGCATGAGCGTCTCAGCTTTTGTGATGTCCGTATTCCATTCCTATTTATAGGCGGTGGTTATCACTTACTACCAGGTGATTCGTCAGAATATTTGTTATTTCAAATTACAGAAATAAAAATCGTAAATATATATGTAGTTTCGTGCATAAGAAGGAAGCTATGTATTTAATTGAAGATGTAGGAAATTAAATACTGATTATTATTATCATCAAAACCAATAGATGGTTTCTCGCTTCTCGCTTTTGGCCTCAACTTTGTCTCTTTGTAAAATGGGGATATATTAGCTTAGTTTATAACGTAGTTTGAATTAAAATTTGGAAATATTAAAATCATATGCCAACAATGATGATTGAAAAATAATGAAGAATTATCGAAGCGGACGTAGTTTAATAAATTTGCATCCCCCAAAATAAGTAATTATATTAATATACTAACTGCCCATCTTCGCTGAACTATTGAAGAAAATGAGAAGCAGCAAATTTCACCGCAAATGACGACAACGGAGGAATATTTTTTCTCGATGCATCCGGTTAACTTGGTAAAATGTGGGTTTTCAACACAAAATTTTCATTTTTCGTAGGAATTTCTAAATATTTTTCTTTATACAAATCTTATCCTAGTAATTATAGACACAACGCAAAAGAAAGAATTCCAAATAATAGTAGCTGTTCTGGAGGACGCGTTTACATGAATTCGGTAAATTTATTTTTATTTACATAGATTTTTCAACCGGCTACAAAAGTTCAAAAATAATTTTTAAATTAAAAAAAAAAATTATACACTTTGAGAGTATATTCTGTGGGATAATTTCTATGCAACTTACAACAAACAAAATGTCTTCGCCAATTTTGTGGCGATTTTAATACTTTTCGTAATTGTCATTTGTCTCATCGAGGCCTATTTAATGTGGAACAAAGTTATATTTTGTATCTTCTTCTTTAATTAAAACTTTATTGGTTCAATAAGTCATAGAAATATAGAGAATAATAATTTTAACGTGTTTCAATTCGGAAATAAAATACTCTACCCAGGTGAATGTCAAATGTCCACGGATCCATCGCTATCCCTCAATTTGAAACCTCACTATATCGATTACAAAGTTCTAATTTCGCAGCCTATCAGATAGGGAGCGTCCACACTATCTGTAGGGACACTCGTTCACAAAGTTTCAAGTGGTGATAAGAAGGGTATCGATCGGCCCCATTGCGTAGTCACGGGGCGTACAAACACCTACGCGATAAGATATGTATATGCGGGTGCTTAAACTCAAAACACCATACCCACATGTAGCTGAACGGCGGTTGCACTCTTTATGGCTAATATCGAATTGTTTTTAGATACTTTCCTAGATTTCAATAGGAATTTTATTAGTTACTTTAACTTATTGAACTGCAAACACAATTTTCTAGTGACTATAAAACGGTTTTCAATTAAACCTCAAACTATCTATTTTTGATAATATATAAAATCTTTTTTTATATATTTTAAACTAAAATGACTTACTCCCGTGTTGGTCTTGTAACTTTAATATTGTCTTCATCAATATTAAAGTTTGTATTTTTTAGAACGGTTTACCAGAGAGAAACTTTGTACAAAAGTCGATTGCTTGGGTACCTCTGTCCCATTCGTGTTTCTACCGTGAAGCAGTTGTGTTGATGGGATATGGCGTGAATTTACAGGGTACAGAGGAATGACACCTGAGTCCTCAGGAATGGCAACGCATGGCGGGTATCATGGGCGAAACAGTATACTCTGTTATGTCCATGGTACTGCTCATGTCTCTAGGCGACGGTTACCATTTTCCATCAGGTGGGCCGTCAGCTTCTTTGCCATTCTAAGTTGTATAAAAAAAAAATATTTAACTTTTTTTATTCTTTTAACTTTAAATAACCAGGGAGAATACTAAAGTATGTATGAGAGGAGGTATATAAGTAAGGTTTCGCAATACGCCTGTATTTCTTGTACATTTAAGTATAATAATTTAAATTTAAATTATCCCATAATAAGAAATTTTATTTAAATATTATTTATAAAATAACCATCACATTTAAAAAATAGGTCTAAGTCAAAAACCTCCTTTTTTGAAATCGCTGCAGAAATTATTCAATAACCCAAAATGTTATTATTTAAATGTTCAAATAAATAAACAAATGCAGAAATTATATTGCTACAGCTTGGAGTTTTTCAAAAAAGGGTAAAGAAAGTTTCTTCAGGTTCGGCAACGCGCATGTAATGCCTCTGGTATTACAGGCGTATAAAGGCTACGATAACTGCTTAACATCAGGTGAGTCGTATGCTTGTTTGCCACCTCAGTGGTATAAAAAAAATTACAAAATAAAATTATTGGTAAAATTAACAAAAAATCATTTTGCAAAAATTTAATACCGAAATGTTATTTATTAATATTAAATAAAGCTATCCATGATACCATATTATACCAAAACAGACCTTGTTGGTTATGGAATTTAATTCGAGAAGTTACAATAGTTACTTAGTTGCGGACCCTTTTACTAGAGATACTTCAAAGGGGTTTATGTGTCTGATATTTAATATAAATTGGGTGGGGCCCTTAATTTATCATCCTGTGTTCTTCTATCACTTACACTTATGTTTTGCAATTTACATTTGTGTACTTACACCTTTGAATGAACTGAAATATTGATTAAAAAAAAATTGTGTAAAAATTATATTTTAATATTAAACTCGTAGGATAATGTCCCTTCCCATTTATAATATTAATATATAAATGGGAAAGTTTATAAGGATGAAGGCATGAATATTTGTTACTCTTTCACGCCGAAACTACTGAACGGATATGAATGAAATTTCGTACACGAGTAAGTTTTATCTAGTA